CCGCAGACCTCCCTCCTTCCCTTTAGGAAGTGGGGCGGGTCTGCGCGCGGCGAGGCGCGGAGGAAAGGCGTGGAGCCCTGACCACACCACCCCGCGGCCCGCGACGACAAGAACAGGAGGCGGTGACCACGGCCGGCCAGTGTCCATACGTAGTTTATTCACATAGAGCGGAGTCGCCTCTCCGAGTCCATGAGTCAGACTCCCACCGCCGCCCTCAGCCCGCCGTCCGGGACACCCGGGCCTCGTCAGGGCTGGGCTTTTTGTTTTTAATAATAATAAATAAAAACTCAACTCTAAAAAATATATATATATAAAAACGGGAGGGAAATTAAGTTTTACAACAATTGGAACTCAAAATTCCAAAATGGAAAATGTACAAACTGGGAGCCTGCGTGCCCCCCACCCGCCAGCAGCCGTGGCCTCCAGGAAGGGCAGGTCTAGCTCCTCCCCGCCGCTCGGGCGCCTTCCTCTCGTCTGCGGCAGGTCGGGGGATGACGGGCAGGGTTGGGTTTTGGTCAGAAGCCAAGAAAGGTTGGAGAAGAAAATTAAGCAATGACATGAACTTGCTCTGCACAGAGGGCGGCAGGACGGCTCAGAGATAAATAGCATTTGGGTTAAAACTATGTCATTAGCAAATTTAGCTCTTGTAACTTTCGCTCTATTTATATCTCTATACACAGGCGGGGCTGGGATACAGGATAGATTCTGGATTTATAGTTACACTAAGAAAAAATACTCTCGCCCCTCCCCAACCCCACGCCAAGAACGCCTGCCCAGCCCTGCTCCCGAGGACTTTGGTTTGGGCGCCCTTCCCACCCAGAGCGTGCCTGCCAGTCCTGGGCCCCCTAGGCCCTGCTCGGTGGTGGATAGCCAGTGCCCTGGAGCCCCCAAACCCGTGTGTAGTCACCATGCTCGAGGCAACAGGTGGGCAGGTGGAAGTGAGAGGAGGGGACGGGGAGGGTCAAGTGGGTAAGGCAGCTCCTTGGATAGGCCTGGGGGCTGCAGCCAGGTGACCAGGGGGAGGAGGGATGAAGGGAGAAGAGCGGGTGGGCATTTGTGCTCGCCGGCCAGGAAGGGCAGTGTCGCTCGGCTCCGGGAAACAGAAGGCACTTTCTCAGGGCTGGCTGCTGGCTCGCTGGACTGACCCACGGTTGCAATGGGCAGGGCGGGCCAGCAGGCACTGACCGTGAGGTGGGGGGCCAGAGGCGCTCTTCCCGCAGTCAGAGCTCTGCCCTGGCCAGGCTGCACCCTCACACCCAGCACAGGACGTGGGGATCCCCGGGGCATGAGGGCTTGGGTGACGGAAGGGAGAGTGGGCTCCAGGCGGCACCTCTATTCTGAGCAGATGCCGGGCATCTGCGGGCAGGCGGCAGCATGGAGGGGCCAGGCATGCGACCCTCAGGGCTCAGACGTCCCTCTCCCCTCCCCCGTGCTCCCGCCCCTCCCACCGCCGCCCGCTATAGCACGCCCTCCATGAAGCTGGTGTCCAGGTGCTGGATGAGCACGCGCAGGAAAGACATCTCTTTGCGCGTGTTCTCGAAGATGATGCGAGGGTCATCCGACTGGCAGCGCAGGCAGTTGGGCGCCATCACCATGGCCAGGTTGCTCACGTCCATCTTGGTGATGGCCACGTTGGCGGGCTGCACGAACACCTGTGGGGAGGGGCGGAGGGTAGGGCCGGTGGGGCGCTGCGGGGACAGGCTGGGGGCGGGCGGGGCCGGGGACTAAGTACCTGGAGGAAGCGGATGAGGTAGCACAGCACCATGCGGTTGATGCGCGGTAGCGCGTGCACCACGGCCACTGCGGCCTCGGGGCTCTCATAGTGAGCGATGCACTGCTCGTAGAACTCGTGCGGGATCAGCGGCTCCTCCAGCTCGCGGTACCAAAGCTTCAGCAACGATGCTGCAGACAGAACGGGGTGCTCAGCCACGGCAGCTCCGGCCAGCACCCAGGCACAGTCCCGTGGGGACATGCATCCACCCAGCGAGTGGCCACAATGAAAGGGGCTCTCTGAGGTGAGGGAGGACTGATAGGCCAGATGGGGGCCTGTCAGGAAAGGGGTCCACTTGCAACCGTGGTGGGGGCAGTACAGACCCTAGAGGGCCTCCACGTGGGGAAGGACCGTTGCACAAGCGGCGATGCACAAAAGCAAGATTTTCAAATGGATTGTGCAGCTGCTAGAAGGCTGGTGGAGGGCAGCGTGAGCACCCAGGTGTGGTGGCCAGCTCGGTCAGAGGATGGGGAGGTGCCAGGCAGTGGGGGGCAGCCATGGTGAGGATGGGGAGCACAGGCTGGGGTGGGCATGGGGCGGGTGCTTTGTACAGGCTGAAGCTGAGAACATCTCTGGGCCGTGAATGGACCATTGACCCCTGGGAACCCTGAGACCCCACTGCCTGCACTGCCAGGCCCAGGCCGCCAAAGGGGGTTGGAGGACCCTCACCAGGGACGTGGGGGTCTTCCAGGCCTGTAGGCACCTTCCACTGGTCCACCTGCAGCTTCAGGGCGTTCACTTCATCAATGTCCCCAGGCACCCTGTGGAGCACAGGCCAGTGTCAGATGGTGTCCACTACCGACCCAAGGGAGGGAGAAGGGCTCAGCAACCAGACCCCCCAGCCTCCCAGTTTGGCCTGCTTCCCACATAGGAGCTGTGGCTCGGGCCTGTTTGCCCTCCTGGGGGCCCCTCACCTATGAGCTGGACTCAGGGGTGTCACAGCTCTGACCCTTTCTGGACCCTCCCAGGAGCAGGAGGCAGAAGGCCCTCTCTCCATGAGCCCCAAACACAGCAAGCCTCAGTTTCCCCAGCTATCCTCCTGGAGCCTAGGAGTCCAATCCTGACAGGCGAGGTGTGTAGAAAGTCACCTCAGTGGCCACCGCAGCGCAGCAGGCACCACTCAGATCTGTGCCCATTCTCTCTGGTACAGACTGCACTTCCCTGGCATGGACCTGCTGCTCCTCAAAAGCCCGCGAGGCAGGGCCACCACTGTCCTGTTCAGACCTGAGGACAGGAGCCTGGTGGGGGGTGACAGAGCTCTGCTTGAGTCGTACGTACGGCTCGGGCAATGCTCAGGCCCTGCCTGGAATCCGCGTACCCTCTGGGCCCTGGGCGGCCATTTCTGCAGGGGCCACCTTCACTGGCGGC